CTTCATAGTTCTGTGCCTTATTCAGAGCTTCTCAGTCCAGAGACTACAGAAATACTTCTGGATATTCTCCAGTGGTCTTCCTGACCAGCTTCCTGAATAGCAGGTGTGTGTGAGAGAGACAGACAGACACACATGTGTCACAGTACTCATGCAGAGGTCACTTGGTGTGTAAGACCTTGCTTTGATGCAGGGTCTCTTTTTTTTTCCCTTTCCAACAGGGTTTCTCTGTAGCTTTGGAGCCTGTCCTGGAACTAGCTCTTGTAGACCAGGCTGGCCTCAAACTCAGAGATCTGCCTGCCTCTGCCTCCTGAGTGCTGGGATTAAAGGTGCGCACCACCACCGCCCGGCTAATGTTGCAGGGTCTCTTTAAGTACAGCTGGCCCCTGAGCTTCCAGGGACTAGGCTGTCTCCATTCCCCCTCTCTCTGTACTGAACTTACAGGCACACGCTCCTGCATCCAGGTTTTCTGTGGGCTCTGGGAATCTGAACTCAGAGCCTCACACTCAGCCTGGAAGGGCTTCACTCACTGAGACAGCTTCCCACTTTAACTCTCAGTCATTTGAATTTTATTTTGGAGTTTCACACAAAGTCATGATGCTATTTTTTTCTCCTTTCCAACAGTATTGGAATTTTTCCAATTGATTTGAAATGTCAGTTTTATTATTGTCAAGTTTTTATTTGTGTTAACTTCTAGATTTTCTTCTGTGTCCACCAACTATTTAATATCTCTTCCTGTCTCAGTACCAGTTTTATTTTTGTGTTTTCTCTCTCAGAATTTTAGAGTCTGTGTACAGATTTCACTGAATTCTCTGTTTAAATCCTTCCAGGGTGTTTTTGCTTTGGTTGCTTCTATTCATGGAGTACTTGGGAAGAATCTGTCCTTGCAACAAGGATTCTGCCGCTGTGGTTCCTTTAGCATGTGTCTCCTGTTCAGTGATTTCTTTTTGTCCTGTTGAAAAGTATGGCTTTTTTCTTTAGTGCTGGATATTAATTTCTTCCTATATATTTTATACTTTTATTGCCATTGTTAATAGGGTGTGTGGTTTGTGTGTGAGAGAGAGAGAATGCATTTGTCCATTTCTTTTTTCTTGAGACAAGGTCTCTCTATGTAGCCTTATTTTTTGGAAGAGGCCCATTTTGGTTTCGGGGCCCATCACTTCAGCTGGTGGTCATTGAGCTTGAGAGGTTCCTCCTATATACCTCTCCCCAGTGGAATGAGCCACTGTACCTGGCTTTTTATGAGAGTTTCTGGGGTTCTGGAATTAAGACCTCTGGTGACTGGCACATCTCTCCCACTATATCTGTCTTCACCCCCACCGTTGTCTTTCCTAACAGTATTAGAAACCAGATAGTAATACTATATAAATTGTTTGTTTTGCGATAGGTCTCACTCTGTATATGGCCTTGACTGGCCAAGAGCTCATTAGTTGCTGCAGCCTGGCCACAAACTCACAGAGATCCGCCTGCCTCAGCCTCCCGAGGACTGGGATTAAACACCTGTACACTCTATCTAGGCTCACGTCTGGTTAACTTGAAAATGTTAATATTTCAGTTGTTTTTCTTGAGTTTTTAGGTATCCAGTCAAACCTTAGTACAGAAACAATGACAGATTCTCTTCTATTGTTCACCATTTTCTTCTTTCTCCCATATTTTACCAAGCCACTGTTCCACAGCCTTGTATTTGGTAGCATCTTTCTTGGTTATTGTGGAGAAAATGCTGTGTCTGTCTTAGATTGTATTTGCTGTTGCTATAGATGCTGAGACCTTTTGTAAAAGGAAATTTTTTTCCATTTGTCTCATAATTATGTGTGATTTTGACCAAAACTCGATCTTATACCAGATGCTTCTTTTATCCCCTGGCTCAGCACAAATTCTAATTGTTCTTAATAATAAAAACCCAGAATCAGATATTAGGGGGTGAAAAGTGAGAGATCAGAGAAGCAGTGCAGGCAGGCACTACAGAGACCTTTTACCTTTACCAATGCTCAGGCCAAAGAGGCAATCCCAGACTGCCTCCTCAGACTGCTACAGACTGCACCTCAGACTTCATCCTCAGACTGCATTGAGCTCCTGTCTCCTTCCGCCTTATATTCCTCCATCTGCCCAGCCACATCACTCCTGTCTCTACCTCCCTAGTGCTGGGAGATCACCTTTGTGTGAGTTCTGTTTCTCTTAGAAACAGATTTAATCTCCTGTTGCCCAGGGTGGCCTTGAACTAACAGAGAACTGCCTCTGTCTCCTGGGATTAGAGGTGTGTGCCACCACTCCCTGGTCCCTAGTGGCTTACCTCTGCACTCTAATCTTAAAGCAAGCTTTATTTGTTAAAATATCACTATAGTTTTGCTGTTGAGGGTTTTTTTGTTGTTTTGGGTTTTTTTTGGGGGGGGGGGTCGAGACAGGGTTTCTCTGTAGCTTTGGAGCCTGTCCTGGAACTAGCTCTTGTAGACCAGGCTGGCCTCGAACTCACAGAGATCCACTGCCTCTGCCTCCTGAGTGCTGGGATTAGAGGCATCCGCCACCACTGCCCAGCTTGTTTTTGATTTTTTTTGAGACAGGGTTACTCCATTTTAGATTTTTCAAGGCAGGATTTCTCTATGTAGCCCTGGCTGTCCTAGAACTCATCTTGTAGACCAGGCAGGCCTCAGACTAACGGATTCACCTTCTGGGATTAAAGGCTTGCACCACGACTCCCCCCCACACACACACACACACACACTCATCTGTTTTTCTTTAGTCTGGTATGCAGTAAGTTACCTTGGACAACTTTATTCCTGTTGTGCTCTTCTTGCTTTCTAGGGACAAATACCAGTCGGTAGTAACCTGAGATGGTATGCTTGCCTAAGATGTGCTTAACCCTGGGTTCTATACCCAGCAGCTATGTGTTCTGTTCAGTGCCCTTCAACTAAACTCAGTTTTATTTAGGATGCTGATTTCTGTCATGATGGGCAAAACAGGCCCCAAAGTTTTTGCTCTCTGTTCAGTCTCTCCCTGCTTCATAATACTGTGTATACCCAGAAGGTGGGTACACCTTGAGGATTTGATAATACTCAGAAAACCGTCTTGTCTGCTCACAGCCTTAAAAAACTATCCTAACCAAAGTATCCTAGCCACTTTCTGTATCCCCTGAAAATTTCCATAGGATCTGTTGCGTAGTAACTGGGGGTTGGAGAGATAATGGATGACTTTGCGCGTGGGTTGTCTTTCAGAAGGTGACGCTCATTATGTCGGTGCTACTCCCTCAGGTGGGCTACTACTCACCTTTGTCACCCCCAGAGGTTGCCTGATGTGCTGTAACTCCCAGAGAGACAGATCTTAGCTGCTGGGCCAGCCAGTAGTAGCCGGAGTGAGCTCTCTGACACCCTGAGTGGACTGGCGTTGTGGACTGGAGCTCTCTCCCACCGCTCTGGGTCTCAGCAGAGACTGCACAGTCCTTCCCCACCTGGTGTGTAGTCTCCATTCATGTGCTCCTTATGTTAGTTATCAATGTTAAAAAATAACATTTTAAGAAGTCTTTTATAAAATTAGGATCATAGTGTATAGAGCTATGAAAAGGTAGTCTTCACACGATTGATCCCCAGAACATTCTGTGAGGTAGTTTTTGTTGTGGTTTTCCTTTTTGAAGAAAATGATAGCTGGTTTGTCTACTCTCTGAAACAAGCATAAAATGCTAGGCTGAGGTGAGCATGAATTAGAAAATGGAGACCTGGTGAAGCAGTGTTTTTCCAGGCTTTACTACTTCAGCAGCTCCCCATCTGATATTTAGACGTATTTATGTTGAGTCATTTCTTTCTCTGTAGCTGATGATCAGAAGATCACAAAATGATTGTACAGAGACAGTGGCATTACGTTTAGTTTCTTTTTTTGTATATATCAGATAAGAGGCCTGCAAGTGGAAGGGAGTCCGCTCACATCCTTGCATGGTGGTAGCCGTGAAACTTGCCTTCTTACCGTGGCAGAGACTTTTGTGCTAATGGTCCTGCCTCCACATCTGAGGTAGCTGGGGCACGCATGGCGTTCAACTTTAACAGGCAGCTCTGGCAATGTCTAGAGACTGCTGCTTTACAAGAGAATTGGGAGTAAGGGCATTCCTGTGGAGGTCAGCATAGTAGGCTAGGACTTGTGACGGAGTAAAGGGTCAGGCTTCTAAGTAAGTTATCCTTTTGAGCCAGCACTGCCTTTGGGTAGATAAAATTCTCACTGATCTGAGGAATAAAAGAACATAAGGGGCTGGCTTTTGAACAGTTCTAGAAGGAGTTGGGCGATGGTGGCAGGTGCCTTTAGTCCCAGCACTCAGGAGGCAGAGGTAGGTGGATCTCTGACTCCAAGGCCAGCCTGGTCTACAGAACAGCCCAGGGCTATGTGGAGACCCTGTCTCCAAAAAATAAAAATTAAAAAAATTCTAACAGGGCCAGACAACAATTTTAGACTTGCTTCTGTTGTGTAACAAGGGCCCCTGGCTTAGCTGCACCCTCAGCTTTAGCACATCATGGGTCTTCTCTACAGCAGCCTACTTCAGGTGCCAGGGAAGCTGCCTCTCCAGTGTGCTCTCAGGGCCTAAGAAAGAAGCCTGTTAGAGACAACTTTTCTGAAAGTTTTTTGGGGTTTGTTTTGAGATAGGGTCTCACTGTGTAGCTTTGGGGAACTTGGTGTGTAGATCAAGTTGACCTCAAATTTATGGATATCTGCCTGCCTTTGCCTCCTGAGTGCTGGGATTAAAGGTGTGGGCTGCCCCACTTAACTTAAAGAAGTACTTGGATCCCACAGTAAAAACGGAGCCGTGTGAGGACTTGGGCCTGGCATATACCTAGCAGTCTAGTACCAGGAAAGTCTAGCACTTTTCATATTCAGCTTTTATAATTGAAAGTACTGGGGCAATGATGTTTTTAATATTATTACTGTATTACATATATATACAATTTAGCATAAACTTTTGCACCACTATCCTGTCTTTTATATAAATAGTATATATTGTACCAAGTAAAAGTGGCTTCCTTTTCCAGAGCAATAATGAAATTTCACAGTATGAAAATGGAAGAAATCAACAAAATTATTCGTGATCTTTGGCGGAGTACTTATCGTGGACAAGGTAATTAATATGGTGTGTCCCAAATGCTTGTTCCAAAGCTCTGTCCACAGCTTCTCTTGTGTGACCTTACCATGCCAGCATTACCTTCTCAAACTCCTTCCTGAGCATTTAAGATTTTTCTAAGAATTCTTATCTTTGCAATATCTTATAACAAAAAGAAAACGCAAAGTTTCTGTTCCAAAGCCCTGTGGGACTCATATTGTCTGTAGCAGACACAATGAGCTGATGACATAATGGTTTCTGTGAAAGCGCAGATAGGGATAGGCCCAAATGTGATAAGAAAAGTACCCAAAGGAAACTTAGAAAAGGAGCTGGGCCCAGGCTGGGGGCGGGCCATCCAGGCTGCATCTTGGTAGACCACGTGGCTCCTAAGTCCTCCCGGCCAGATAGCTTGCAAGGCAGCCAATGCGTCCAAAGCCATCAGACTCACTGTTGTCCCCAGACTTTGTGAACGATGTATATAAGTGACAGAGGTGCAGTGTGGGTCCTCTAAAATGCTCTGCTTTCTGTATCAGATATTGAATACATAGAAATTCGATCAGATGCTGATGAAAACGTATCTGCTTCTGACAAAAGGCGGAATTACAACTACCGAGTGGTGATGCTGAAGGGGGACACAGCCTTGGACATGCGGGGACGATGTAGTGCTGGACAGAAGGCAGGTATCTCAGCAACCTACGGAGCCAGCTAAAGAACTGAAGATAGGCCCCATGTTGTGGAAGGCTTAGACTCCCCTTAAGTGAAGAAGCTCCTTACACCTTCCTTGTCACCTTGTGAAGTAGACAGACACAGCTATATCATGGCCCCATCCTGCTGCTGGCTAATATGCCCTGTAGTGCTCTGAAGACAACAAGAAAAAGGGTCAAAGTTACTCAGACCCATTTCACTTCAACAGCACTCCTTCTCAGAGAAAGGGCCCCCAAAGATGCATTCTGGTATCAAAATGGGCAGGAACATCTCAAAATTATTTATGCCAGTCATAAATAATACTAGCAGGGGGAGGGATGTGGCTCGGTTGGTAGAGTGCTTGCCCCTCACCACTACCAAAACATGCCTATCATCCCAGCACTAGGAGGGTGGAGGCAAGAGAATCAGAAGTTCAAAGTCATCCTTGGCTATAGACTGAGTTTGAGGCTAGCCTGAGCTACACAAGACCCTATCTCAAATGGACAAAGAACACTAGCAAACTAGACCCTGAGTTAAACCAAATGAGGGAGTCTGATCTGGTCGTTGAGAATATAGCCTTTGCACAGGACTGACTCCCCATCACCAGCACCTCACGTAACCTTTGTGCTGGACTCTAGACCAATGGCTACATCAGGCCAGTGGCCCTACACGAGGCTCCTGGAGGAGGTAGGTTTGTTTGTAGCACTGGGGAAATCAGAATGAGAAATGTTTCAATAAGGCTGGAACATGAGACCTGCATCCCAGAGCACCGGGAGGTCCTGAGTGTTGATTTTGTTAACCATACACAAGAGTGCAGATTCTGAGCCTTCATAGTAAAGCAGATTTTTCATAAAATTTCACAGGCTTAGGAAAGGATGTCATATTAGTCACACAATTATCCCAGTTATTGCTAGCCCAGACAGCTAACACCAATTTCAGACAATGTAGATTACGATCACAGTCATAGTCTGAAGAAATTGCTTGTTTGGCGATGTGTAATATTCATTATAAGTGAGTTTGAAACATGGTCTCTGAGCAAAAAGACAGTTTCCTGTAGCTGCTCTTAGATTGTGAAAACTGGCAGTACTTTCTTCCTAGTGGAGGGAGAGGTGTCAGATGAATGGTTTGGTGGTTGTGGGCCAACCAGCAGCCTGCATGTAAGTGGGTGCTGCTAGACTGGCAGGAGTAGTGTTCAAAGGCAGGAAGGAAGTATCTGTCCCCCAAAGGGGCACCCGGCTTCTGCAATCTGCTGGCCTGCCCTGGACATCAGAAGGAAGGTGTGCACTGCCCTGGCTCAGAAGCCCAGGACTTCAGCAGGCCCTGATAGGAGCACTCACACAAAAGCATTCTGCTCTCCCAGGACAGTCTGAGTAGCAGCTTTGTTCCTAGGACACAGCCCTGAGAAGACTAGGACCGAGCCTGAGGGTTTGAATGTTTGATTTTTCGTCCATGAATGGACTCCGTGGCCTCCTAGAGATAAGTACAAATAGAACTGTGCTCTATTAACTTTCTTTCTCATTGTCACAGTTACAAAAACATACTCTTCAGTGTGATGTAGAACACACTGCCTGGTTTCTCTTTTGAGCCAGAGTCCCTGTGAGGCTCAGGAAAATGTAATGTTTTCCAACAAGTTTCATCACTGAGAAGCTATAAGGGTCAAATCAGAAAGTCTTAGGGTTAAGTGTGATGACACACACCTTTTAGTCCCAGTGCTCAGAATGCAGAGGCAGGCAGGTCCCTCAGAGTTTGATGCCAACCTGAACTACATAGTGACTTCCAGGTGAATCTTAGACTCATGTTGATAAAGTGTAATGCATCGCCCCTTAGCCTGTGATGTCAGTTTTTAATAGCACTGGAATGCTGGCAGGGCTTCCTCAGTGTTTTATGTCAGTGCAGATGATAGGCTGAGAGAATGTAGCTGATGGCCCACCTTTCAGAAAAGCAATGGTCTCCACTGAACTGTCCCTAACATCGGTGACCTCAGATATCCACCTGCTTTTGCCTCTTGATTGCTGGGAACAAAGGTGCAGCCACCCTACTCAGTTCATTTCACCATCCCCTTCTAAAGAAGTCTGCTGTGCAACTTTTCTCCAGGTGCTAGCCTCTCTCATTATCCGCTTGGCGCTGGCTGAAACCTTCTGTCTGAACTGTGGCATCCTTGCCTTGGATGAGCCGACGACAAATCTTGACCGAGAGAACATTGAATCTCTTGCACATGCTTTGGTTGAGTAAGTATTTCAATTCAAGTTCAGGGCAGATTGCAATTTTTTTCTAAATACCAATAGCAGAGCTGGGTGTAGTGGTGCACACCTTTAATTCCAGCACTTGAAGGCAGAGGCAGGCAGATTCTCTGTGAGTTCAGGGCCAACCTTGTCACATTGTGAATTCCAGGCTAGTCAGTGAGACGCCATTAAAAAAAGAATCCAGTTGAGGCTAGGCTTTGCACTTTGCCTTCTTGAAAAGGAACTAACGTCTTCAGAGAGATGGCTCAGGGGATAAGAACATTGACTGTTCTTCCAGAGGACCAGGGTTCAATTCCTAGCACCCACCTGTCTCTAACTCCAGTTCCAGGGGATCTGACACCCTCACATACATGCAAACAAAACACCAATGCATGTAAAATAAAATGAGAGTATTGAGATAGGCATGTTCTGCCTCTCCACAGGTGTTCATAGGGCAGGGAAGGGTGAGCAGTTCTGAGCTTCCTCTAGGTTTCCTGTGAATGCCCCCATGGCAAGCACAGGAGTCCGTATGTGCCCGGGCCAGACACTTAGAACTGGTGGTAGTGGAGCTAGGACTGCCTGTCACATGGTTACTGTGGAGGATGAGAGATTTTATGGAAGAAACATCCTGGTAAGTAGATGATGACAGAGGCTAAATTGTCGTCCTTGTGTGCTCCATTCCCTGACGTCAGAGCCACCCCAGAACTCTTGACAGCACAGGAATCTCCTCCAGCCAGCTCCTCATAGTTCTGGGGGACCAGCAAGGAAGGAGGGGGTTGTGGTATCAAAACATGAAGTGCATCCAGCCCCAGGCAGGTGATAAACAAGTGTGAGTTAAAATTCTTGTTGCATCTCACTCAGAGCTGATACCTCAGCTGCTGATGAGCAAAAATGTCCCCAGTACACCCACTCAGGCCTCTGTGTCACAGCACTGATGCATCTAGTGACTGGTGGTGGCAGAATTCTAAGTAGACCCAGCTCTTCAGAAGGCAGTGTTATTCCCCTACATGTTGTCTGCATGAATTACTTTTAGACTTTCAGAGAAGTCTAGCAGGAGCTCAGGAGAGTCTAGGCGGAGGAGCGAGCTGGGCTCTTTTGTCAGTGAATAGTTTAGCTTTTCCTAGAAGACTTTCTCCTGCATGATTAGGATCTTGGGGAACTGGTCTAAATTCTTGACCTGGTTCTTGGCCAGATGGGTGGGTCATGAGGCTATGCATCCCTGCATCCCACTGTGTGGGAAGGAGATAGGCTCCTACCTGCCTACGTTGAAGGCCCCAGCCCTCCCCTATTTCCTGCAGGGCAGCCAAAGGCCCTGTCGCTTGTGGCACAGGAAAAAGCTTGGTTGGCACACAGCTGTTCTTTTTCCAGTGGTTTTTCCAAATGTAAAAATGGTGTTCTCAATGTATTGTTTCAGGATCATAAAAAGTCGCTCGCAGCAGCGTAACTTCCAGCTTCTAGTAATCACTCATGATGAAGATTTTGTGGAGCTCTTAGGGCGATCTGAGTACGTGGAGAAATTCTACAGGGTGAGGAAGAACATGGACCAGTGCTCGGAGATTGTGACATGCAGCATTAACTCCCTGGTTCACTAACGTGTTTTGGTAGGGAAGTAAGTCACGTGAGGGGGTTGAGGCTGTCTCTACTGAAGACTGAACTGATGCCTGACACAGTCCTAGCAACCTCCCCGTTCTGCTCAGCCTTTCATCCTCCTGCCAACTGAAGGCCATCCAGATGAATGACACTTCTCAGAGCAGGGCTGACTTGATGGGGGTTGTTGCCTTGGTGATTTATGGGGTAGGCATTTAAAAATGTTAGTATTTTCTCTGAAGCTTTGAAGTAAGAAATAATGACTGACTCCGCTTTAACATGAATCCATGTATACAAACTGTCTGAGCCTGAGTCTCCCCAACTAAAACTGTAGCATTGAGTGGAGGTTGATAGGATAAATACCCAGTTCCCTCCGTGCAGCTGCCAGGGGAAACTCCCCACTCCTGCCCTGCCACTCTTCTGTCATGTGTAGCCACTTGACCTGGCCACTAATCCCAACTGCTCTTCACAGCAGGTTCCCATGTGGGTGGGAAGCTAGGCTTGCCCACAGCTGGGGCCCGCTCCCCATGAACAGGCAAGGGCAAACCTCATTTTCACTCCAGAGGCCGATCCTGTTGAAGTCCAGTACACATTTCCATGGAATTTCCAGCTGAAGCCTTCTGTGGATATTCTCTAGACAGGGTACATCAAAGTCCCATGCTTGCAGCGGTCCAGCTCTGTCACTGAGCTGCTCAGGCCTGCTCTGCGCCGTCTGCAGATCTCTAGAACAGGGCCATTTCCTCCACACAACCTTTTCCGTCAAGTATATAAAACAGATGCATAAATAAGATGCAACTGAAAATAGATAAAGAAAACTAGTTTAAAACAATTCTTTGATATATATATATATATACATATACACACACACAGCTTTATCATTTATTAAAGAAAAAAGCAAATATTGTATACTAATGGCATGGATGTACTTGTTTGTTTTGCATATGGAAGTAGTTAAATCTTGATGGAATATTTGATACTTCAGAAGGACATAAAACATCTTCAACTTTTGTTTTCGAGACAGTATTTCTCTGTGTAGCTTTGGAGCCTGTCCTGGCACTTGTTTGTAGACCAGGTTGGCCTTGAACTCAGAGATCCACCTGCCTCTGCTCCCAAGTGCTAGGATTAAAGGCGTGCACCATCACTACCCAGCCATCTTCAGCATTTTGATAGTCGATTGGTAGTGTGATTTTATAATCAATTTTCAAAGTTGCTTCACATAGCCAGGTGTGGTCTCTAGCAGAGGCAGGAAGGTCTCTGTGAATTCAAGGCTAGCTGTATATTCAAAGCAAGACCTTGTCTCAGAAAACACTTTTCTCACACAGGTATAAAATGCAGGGGAATGTTTATATCCATTCTTAACATTTTTGGAAATTCTGTCACTCCCAAACCAAAATTCATTTACTGTGAAAAAGGGCCTTTAACCCAGGCTGATCTTGAACTTGGTGTAGCCAGAGATGGCCTCGAGCTTCTGATCCTCTGCCTTCCAAGTGCTTAGATTACAATGTGCATGCATTGATCCTGGTTTATGTGGTGCTGGGGACTGAACCCAGGGTTTCACGCATGCTAAGCAAACACTCTAATGATTGATTACTCTATGAAACTCAAATTAAAAACTCAAAAATTTTAAAAATCAAATATTCTAAGATAGCACAGCCAAAGCAAATTAAATTGATGTTTGCTTCCTTAGCTACTTTTCTAATGCTGTGATAAGACACCATGACCAAGGCGACTTAGAAAACATTTAGTTGGGCTTACGGTTCCAGGGGATTAGTATGTGATTTCAGAGCAAAGGCATGGCAGCAGGAACAGCTGAGTGCTCACATCTCAAGCAGGAGGCAGAGAGAACACTGGGAATCGTGGGAGACCTTTGGAGCAACTGGAGAATGATGGCAGGAACATCTTTGTTTTCTGTAATTCAGCGGCAAAGTGCAAGTGTGTAGAGTAAGAACGCTGATACATACCCTGCAGTAGTCTTGAGTCAGAGCCAGGGTGCTGTATGCAGTGCAGGTTGCTGATGGTGTGCTGTAGCTCCACACCTACAGAGTGTATACAATGTGTTCACAGCCGGGGCTGCAGTGTGGGCAAACACTGCTGAAAACACCCTGGGCTCATCTGACATCAGATTCTGGACTTTCGGTTGTTGCATGTTCAAAATCCTTTTGAAGTTGTCAGATTTTTGGTGACCCTCATATTCTGGGGTTGTGGTCCATATTTAAGAAGCTGAGCTATAAGCTAGGCATAGTGGCACACATTTAACCTCAGCACTCGGGAAGCAGAGGCAGGCAGGTCTCTGTGAGTTCAAGACCAACCTGATCTACAGAGTGAATTCCAGGACAGCCCGGGCTAGGCTACACAGTGAAACCCTGTGTGAGAGCGAGAGAGAGAGTGAGAGGGGGGGAGGAGGAGGAGGAGGAGGAGGAGGAGGAGGAGGAGGAGG